AAAATACATTTGCAGTAAAACGTATTCGGTTAGATTTTTCTCAACGTGAACCTGTAGTGCCTTTAAAGCTGGGCACACACGGAGCGGATTTCAGATGATTCAGCAGGAATCGGCTGACGTTTGCTCTATTGGTGACTCTATTCCATCAGCAGGAGATCATTAGATCATTTTTTGCCCGAAGGACATGTTTGAAATCTGTAAAGAATAAGTCAAGGCAACTGGACCTGCTGTGTTTTTTCTTGAAGATGTTTCGCTGGTCATCCGACCAGCTTTCTCAATTGAGAAAGCTAGTCGGATGACCAGTGAAACGTCTTCCTGAAAAATACAGCAGGTCCTGTTGCCTTGACTTATTCTTTACAGATATTCCATGACCTGGATGGATCAGAACCTTCACAGGACATAACATGTTGGAAGATCTTCGGGTGAATGGTGCTTGCTCACTTTAAATACGGCTGAGACTGTCCAGTAGAAGAAGTAGCACAGCTGCAGATCCCTTTTAAAAAAGCACGCCGGACACATCTGCTCCCTAATCTCTGGAGTTGCAACACTCTGTGTGTCATGGACTGCATGTAAAGCGGCTGACGACAGGAAGTTGGAGTCATTTTTCAAGTCTTTTTTTTTTTTTTCTTTTTCCTTTTGCAGTTGTGAAATCTGGTCCGGGAGACCTTTAAATCACAGCGTTGCTCCATCTCTCCCGTCCTCACCCAGTCGTCCTGCGTCAGCAGCCGCATCCCCGAACTGCGTTTCTTCGTCTGATTTGCTTTCCTGTCCGTCCTTTCTCATGATGTAGATTCGTCTCGCCGCCTTCTCTCTCTGCAGGTTTATGAAAGAATTCTCTGCCGTTTTTGGGCTCGTTCACGGTTTTCAGCGATACAATGCAGATCTTTACCCCCATGGACGCATATGGGAATCATTATTTGGAGGGAGGTGGTGGCATTTATCAAAGTCCTGCTGCATCTTTCTGCGTTGGTGTGTTTGCAGCCTGCAGCAATATAGGGTAGCATTAGGGATGCACCGATAACGATATTTCAGTATCGAGTACCGATATTTTTTTTTTTTTCCAGTACTCAGATACCGAACACAGAGTAGCGGAGCTGCCAGTCAGTAAGCCAGGCGGCGTGTAAAGACTCGCCACCTGATTTCCTGATTAGCAGGGAAGCCGTCCCCATGCTTCTCGTCACTAGGTTACGAGAAAGCATTGAGCCGGCTTTCTGGCCAGTCAGGAAACAGCGCCTGGCTTCCTGATTGGCCAGGAAGCCGGCTCCATGCTCCCTCGTCATGAAGTGACGAGGGAGCACGAACCCGGCTTCCCGGCCATTTAGAAAGCCAGGCGCCGCGTCATTACACGCTGTCTGGCTTCCTGATGAGCCAGCTTCTTGATACCGGAAGTATCGGGCTAGGCATCGGAGCATTTGGGCGAGTACGAGTACTTGCCCAAATACTCAGTATCGGTGCATCCCTAAGGTTATGCCCTTTTTCCATTTTTAAAGGAGAACTCCAGTTAAAAATGTGCTCATTTTTGTCTAGGTTCAAAAATAAACAAGTTATACTCACCCGATCCTTGATCCAGCCAGCTGTGACAGCGCTCCCTCCAGTCTGTCTCCTCCTCTTGCAGCGATGGTATGTCCCTCGCGTCCTATACACTGTGTATAGAAAGTGATGACTCGGGGCGCTTAGACTGCCGCAGAGGAGGAGGAGAGAGGCTCCAGGGAGCAGCCTAAGAGCAAGCCAACTTCAAGGATTGGGTGAGTATAATTTTCTTTTTAACTCTAGACAAACACAAGCACTTAACCCTTGCAGTGTGTGTGTGGTAGCCTCAGTGGCGTCACAAGGGGACACCAAAATGACTGACAGTCATTTTGGTGTCACCCCCTCCTCTGAAAAGTCGGGCACTCGGTCATGGACCGAGAGTCCGACATTTGCAGGAGAGAGGAGGGGACCTGGCGGCATACCTTAACCCGCCGGGTGATGTCCCCTCCTCTCTCTGCCAGCGTCCATCACCAAGATGGCCGTCAGCAGGTGTCACAGGGATGGCCGCGCATGTGCGACGACGTCATGTGCACGCGCGTGGTAATGTCATGCACGATTACTTTATGGCTGGCTGTCACACCGGTATCCGCTCCGGGTGACATCTGGTCTCGGGACGCCCCTGGCCCCACTGCAAGGTTTAAGACATTTTTTTTAACCAGACTTCTTTTAGGGCCTGTTCACATGAGATCAAGTCCTGATCAGCAGACGTGGAGCTGCAACGCAGTGCGTTTTTGACGCGTTTGCGTATCCGTTCTGTTTCCGGACCTGACAAAGTGTGACATGCAGTATTTTTTCTGTCGTAAGCTGAACGGACTGCGCACGTGAGAACTGGAGCCCATAAAACACATAGGGATACATTGGGATGCATTTTCAGTGCAGGAGCGTACGGAGCCAGTCAGCACACAAAACGGACGTCGTGTGAACAGGCCCTAAAAGCTAGACTCCAGGGAAAAGGCTGAATACACAGATACATATATTGGAGCAGTTTTACTTGCCAAAGGGTTTTGTATTTATGGCCATCCAGTTCTGAGATTTTCACGCACCGTACAAACTGGCGGATGACATCACATACAGTTGTTGGCGCATCCACTGTCGGCCAGCCATGACTGAGTGCAAGTTGGTGGGCCGGACAGCCGCGGACCCTAAAATGCCCAGGTCTGTGCTATGGGCTAGTAAAATCATTCTGAATCTCTCTGCAGATGTTAAACCCAACAACTGGGTAGCGCAGCTCTGATTTTTAGCCCCTTCCCGCTGGCTGTGCTCATATGTGGCAGCTCCATGGTGGCCCCTTAATGCCATGTTATACATGGTGGCCCCTTAATGCCATGTTATACATGGTGGCCCCTTAATGCCATGTTATACATGGTGGCCCCTTAATGCCATGTTATACATGGTGGCCCCTTAATGCCATGTTATACATTTGCACACAGCTGGCGTTGCAGTGCTGTGCTGGGAGCAGGCTCCATTATGTACGCCCAGCACTGTGACCATCAGTCTGCCGCTCTTCTTTCACTGTCCAATCAGCAGAGAGGACAGCACTGTATTCCTTCTACAGTCTGTAAGAGAGAAAGTGGTGTCATCAGCTTGGCTGTGGCCTGTTGCAGAGCTGTGCGAATTTTAGGGGTGGGTGGACACAAATACAAATTCTTTGGCAGGTAAAACAGCTCCCACATATATGTATTTCCTCCATTTTGTTTATCTGTTCGCTGGTAAAGAATCCGTATTGCTCAGATTACGCACCAAACCGCCCCGACAGCGGAATGTTTATAATAAACTTTGCACAGACGGGGGAGGCATTTACGTAAGATGTGGAAAAATAACATTATCTCTCGAAGACAAATCCTTCTGTAGGTTAAATTCCCATCATCCCCTGCAGAACTCCAGGCAGACATTTAATACACAATTGAGGAACGTACGTGCACTGTTTCTGCCCAATGGATTTGTCATTCTGTTCGGCTGGTCTTGTGACTTAGACACCTCTAGCTGACAGTACGGCTTCTTTTCATTTGACTCCCCACTGCAGCAGAGGACGATGAGAATGAAGGAATGGGCTCGGAGCAAAGAAACTCATTTAGATTGTGCAATACCGTCTGCTAAAATGTGTAACTTGCAGGTGTTTCCGAGACCAGAGGAAGGGGGTTGCGCCCGCCCCCGCAACGCGTTTGACTTTCAACACAATTTATTAAACTTTTGTATGGACTTTTTACATACGTTTTAGTCTGCCGCTCCTTTATTTTCTGCCCCTGAGTAGCTCCCAGTATCTCCGATTGTCAGTCTTTGAGCTGCCTAACCAGAAGCTAATGAGCTACCTGTATTGTGTACCTGTATTGTGTACCTGTATTGTGTACCTGTATTGTGTACAAAAAAAGAAAGCAGTCACCACATGAATGAATGTAAGGCAGGGATGGACAAATTTTATGTGGAATCCCGGGGGGTCAGCCGCCCTGTGGAATCCCGGGGGGTCAGTATAACCAGAGCCGGTGTGTGTGGGGGGGTGGCAGCACTCTTGGCAATTACTTAGGGGCCCTCGGTGTTCTCCAGGGCCCTAGTTGACAGAATGGCAGAGGGTGTGGGGAGCTGCAATGCTATATACAAGGGAACCCCCCACTTTGTTTGCTCAGGGACCGATAACAGCCGTGACTATAACTGATACCCAGTAGGAGCTACACAGGATGTTACAAGGCTTTTCGGTCTGTAGGCCACTTTTTATTGTAAGGGGGTTGATAAAAAAAAAAAAAAATGGATCTCTAAAAAAACAAAAACACGTGGGCATTTGATGAATATTTGAAATGATTCTAGGTACTTTTTTAATCACTTCTCTTCCCAACAGGATCAAAGCCAAAATGTTTCCTCGCCATCTGCTTCCTGCGCGCTGCTTGGCCCGGCTTAGTCACAGTGCAGTCAGTGTGTGAGCAGGAATTGGGACAGGGTCAGCTCCTCCAAAATAGAGTTCGCCAGGACATTTTCATAACGTGCATTAAATGCATCGGCGCAATGCGGTGCCATTTATTCCGAGTGGCAACTCTGTGCACCTTCTGACAGACGAGCATTGTGCTGAATTGGCCAAAAATGGAGCATGTACGATTTTTGTGGTGTTTTTTCTTTTTTTTTTTTATCTTAAAGGAAACCTGTAAAGAAATGTGTGGTCTGCCTTTGCTGATCCTCCTCCTGAACAAAGCAAGCTGTCTGGCTTCCAGTTCTTTGTGATAGGGGGTGGGTGTCCCATCCAAATGAGGAATTTTGACTTCTCTGCCTGCATTGCTTGTTCCAAGGCCATTGACTTGAAGCCACAGGCAGCCAGGCACCTGCCATTTTTAGGAGGAGGTCAGCATGTTTCCTTTCATTGATGTTTAATAGTTAGATCATTCATACAAGTAGACCTGATCAAACCTGAGATCCCAGCGGTCCCAGGACTAATGGAAAGTCATGGTTGCCTTTTAATTGAATGTTCTCTGTTTTTTATTTGGCAGTGAATCGCTCCAGCTCAGTAGAGGTGTACACTCCGGAGGAACTGACGGTAGAAAATGGCACCCAAGCCAAGCTGTCCTGCACTTTTAAGTCGTCCAGCGCGATCCATAGCGAAACTATAGTCTTCTGGTCCTACAAAGAGGAGGGACGTGCGTCCGCCGCGGTGAAGATCTTTGGGTATATGGGAGGGAAGCCCATCCCGTGGGGCGACCGCTTCAAAGACCGCACCACCTGGGCCGGGGACCTCAATAAGAAGGACGCGTCCATCAAGATAGCAAACGTCACTTTCAAAGACAACGGCACGTATACATGCGAGGTCATTAACCCCCAAGACCTTGGGGGCGGCCCCAAGGAACTGAAACTCCGTGTGGTGGAGAAAGGTGAGTTGCGGGGTTCCAATTTTTTTTTTTTT